TAGTTGTAGCACGAATGGGTCGGTTCGACCAGGGAAGGAAGGACCACGCTCCTACACAATGCAAGTGTAAAATGGCAGCTTGACACTGCAGTGTTTCGTATGGTGAGTGTAGGGAACCGAAGACCCATTTTACTGGAAACGAGACATTCCATCTTAGTCCTTACGGGTGACAACGCATTTGCATTTTGATTCTTTATTGAGGATAGATGTAGATGTCTATGGGTCACAGCAACCACTTACCATCAGGTGGGCTGTGTGCTCGTTTGTCACCCTATCCTATAAAAAAAAAAACACCACCCATTTCATCCCGTGGGTATCGTAAGAGGCGACAGCGGGAAACCAATTAGGAGATGGGTTGGCTAAAAATAAAGAAAACTGCGGTTGCTAACCCGCCTGATGAGCGTGGCAACTATGGCAAATATCCCCCAACAATGGAGTTTAATAGGCTGTAACGGCAATGGTAATGGTGTAACATAAAACTTCACCTCGGTCCCAACTAGCGACATCTGGTGAACGTAAGATTATTAGTTGTCATTATGCAGCAGCAGCATATTTATTCTGTGTGCAGTCCCACGCCAGCGACCGTGGGTGCGACTGCCCCCGTAGCAGCTTCCGTAGACGATCGTGCAGCCAACCAGAGGGCGGCGCAACAAGCTGTCGCCCTGGACGAATCCGTACCCGTCACCACGATCCAGGTTAGTTACAGCATGTAAGCTTTACGTCGCATAGTTGGACACAGACTTCGTCTCATTTCTGTGAATTCATCATCATCATCATCATCATTACAGCCCTTCATAAGTACACTGCTGAACATAGGCCTCCCCAAAGTAATACCACAAAGCACGGTCCTGAGCCGCCTGCATCCATCGACTTTCTGCATGTCTTACCAGGTCGTCACTCCATCTAGTGGGGGGTTCGTGTGCGTTACATGTTTTTATATAAGAGGGGCAAAAGAGCACGCGGCTCACCCATGGTAAGTTTCGACCGCTGCCCATTAACAACTGCAACACCATGGTAATTGCAGGTGTGTTGCCGGCTTTTTAAACAGGAGTATGCTGGTTTGTCCTGTTTTTGTCAATGTCGTTTGGCCTGTAAGTCGTTTATAATTTTACCTCTGGTTGGGTAAACAGCTGAACTGTTTTCAAAAAATATTAATTTAAAATTAATTAATATACATAAACAGCATGGTAGCAACCATCTCATTCTTAATTTAAATAATATAATTTTTCAGACATGCAGGTTAACACACGATGGATATCGTGACCGCTGAACACGGTAGATTCACTTTTAAACTTGCAATTTACAATTTTATTGGTTTTGACGAGGATCGAACCCACGTTAATCATTTACTGCATAACAGCAGGGGGCGTTTAGACCTTGAGCTGCCACAGCTCTGCATTTATAACGTATGTTAATGAGTACTAACGTAAACGGGAATCGAACTCGAGACAAGCGTGCCAAGAGTCATAGTGCAGACTGTAGATAGATGATAATAGAAAAGGAGAAAGAATGAAACGCGAGAAGACATGATATTTTAATATCTGTGCTTTTTATTTATATATTTATTTACGTCAGGCAACACAGGCTTCATACACACATACAAAATATACACATATGCAGTTATAAATCTATGCAAAAACATCCGCACTTACCGTGGAAAAATAAATTATTTCGAATATTTGCCATTGCTTTTTTCATTCCTTGTACGTGGTAGAGACATGATGCAGCTATGTTAGTAGTATAGTTGTATTACGAATGGGTCGGCTCGACCGGGAAAGTACCACGCTGTCACAGAATACCAGAGTAAAATAGCGACTTAATGCTGCTGTGTTTTGCATGGTGAGTGTAGGGAACTGAAGACCCTTTTTACTGGATGCCTGGGAAAGTGGCATTTCATCTTAGTACTCACGGATGTAGGGATGCCCGATCTGAATCGATTTTATGGAAGATCGATTCACGGCCATACGATCTACCGATTTTTGAATCGATTCAAGGGAATGCGATCTTCACCCAGATCGATTCTTATGGCTATAAGATCGTATGAAAAATCGTATCAACTAAAACCTAAACATCAACCAAACAGTAACGTCCTAACGTATGAACTGGTCTTTGCATACCTATCGTATTGCCGGGGTGGGGACAGAATAACTAAACAAAGTTGTTACTTTGTTATAGTTACTGTCTTACTTAGTACTTTCACATTAAATGAGAGTAGATTCGAGTTACATCTAAAACGGTAGTGTATGAAATATGAAGGTATCTATGATATTTTGTTTATTTTATTATCGGGTACCTATGTAAGTGTTATAAGATCTTTCATTCTTTGTATTATTGCGATACGAAAAGTTGAACTGTTCTGTGAGTGTAAACTATTACTTTTAATACTTTTTAATATGGCCACGCCAACCAAATCAAACGCTTGGGCTTTCTTTTAATTAAATGTGTCATGGGTGGACAATGTAAAATGTGTAAAGAGATGGTTAAAAATAGTAGAAAAACTACCAATTTAAAAAATCATTTCAAGAGTCATCACATAGGCACTTATTCTGAGCTAAGCAAAAGTGATGAAAGTTCAACTACAGTTATTGCCGAAATTGTAAGAATCTATCTTTTATACAAATAAATAAAATTGAAGTGTCTGTTAGTAATGTCAAAATAACAGCTTTTTATTGAATACATATCAAAGTATATACGGTACTAATAACAAAAATAAATTTAAAAAAATCTGTCTGTCTGTCGGTTCGTCTATCTGTTTTTTCCGGCTAATCTCAGAAACGGATGGGATGATTTTGGCGGGAATTTCACTTTCATGTTACAGGGAATAAATTACGCTGCTTCTATTTAAAAAAAATTAAATGTAGATAGCTGGAATTCATAATGTAAAACCTGTTTTATACTTTTCAAAAATAATTATTTGGAAAAACTCACTGGATACCGTAATAGGCATTGTTAAAATAATTATGCATGCACACTGTGCTTTTCTTTATTTTTATACGATACGATTTTCGGAGATCGAATAAGATCGATTCAATACAATACGATTAAATCGTGAATCGATTCACGAGGTTACGATCCATTAAGATCCAGAAGATCGATTCAAAACAAAAAATCGGGCATCCCTACACGGGTGACAACGCATCTGCATTTTATTCGCAAACCATCAGGTGGACTGTGTACTCGCTTTTCACCCTTATCCTATATTTAAAAAAAATCCAGGAACTTATATAAATATTATGAAGAAGAATATGTATGTTGTCGTGTTTGTAAACGGTTTCATATTTTTAATATCAACCTAATTCGACTCTGACTGCGGCATGGATCATCGTATTGTCCCTCAATGCTCATGTCTATAATTTAGTCTAACGTTACACGTTTGAAAATTTGTAATTATTGTCTCTTTATTCCAGTTTCGTTTGGCCGATGGCAGTCGGCTAACGGGTCGATTCAACCACACTCACACCGTAGGCGATTTGCTGCAATACGTGGCTAGAGCCGAGCCCGCTTACCAATTGCAGTCGTTCGCTCTACTCACCACATTCCCCAGTGTTGAACTAACCGACCCCACCGTCACATTGGCCCAGGCTAACTTGCTCAACACCACTTTGTTGCAGCGGTTGAAATAGTCGCAAAGAGATGCGACCGACTGTCTCGACTTTGTCGCGTCGATTGTTCTAGGATTAACGTGAGGTTTGATTGCGTTTCAACAGAAGTATGTCGGTGGTTTTCCGGCGGATTTTAGTCGTGCGATTAAAGCTATTTTTTTTTATTGCAGTGATATTCTCTACGGCTTAATAATCGATAGCTTGCAACAATACATTCAAGTTTTATTGTGTAAAGCGTTCTTTAAAACCTATTTAATTGCTATGGTTTAAATTGTTATCGAATTTAGTTGAACAAACGTTAAATTATTGTATTTTTGGTTGATCTACTTTTCGCGCGAATTAGTCGCACGACACTGTGAAACAATCAGCGACATTTTTTACTATATAGAAATCGCAGATTTTATCGGCTGTGTATACTATACTATGTAACATATTAACATACTGTCCTTTAGTCTCAATTTTTATATGTGAAAACAGTTTTTACGTTTGATTCAATGTAAATGCTCGTTTAATTTAGACGGATGTATTCCTTGATAGAAAACGCCTTTTTACAGAAAAAAAATAGTGTTAGGTATTAGACTATAGTAACTAGTCTTTTTCAAAACTGAAGTTTAGCGGAAAGTATGCGAAGTATGCGAAAATTTTCATTAAAGTTCTGGGTCTCAAAAATGATGCGGTAATGCAATCGGCTCATCCGTTTAGGAGCTATGATGCCACACAGATACACGCTATAAACTTATACACATCCCTGTTTTCGTCGTGGGTTAAAAAGATGTATTAATTATGTCAATTTCGAGTATTACAATAATATAGTACTTTCATAGTATATAGAATAAAGAAAGGCTAAAGGGCAGTGTGTTAAAACCATTATGTTAATTGTGTTAAACAGTTGGACGTAGTTACGTAAACAGGACGTAATCGACGCTTGATTGAAAAATGGAGTTTATATTCCTATCTATACGGTCTAAACTTATTTAATAAATTTCCAGAAAAGTTATCATTGAATAAAAATCTAAATTTTGTACAAAGTAATAAGACTGCCAAATGCCTTTCTGCATCCCTTTTGCGTAACACGTCCAAGTTAAGCATTTTCATGTAAAACAAATTTTCGATACAAAATATTGTTTAGTAATGGCTTTAATAAAAAGATAATATACCAACTGTATTTTTATTTAAATATCCACTCTATCAAATAATAATTTATATAACAATAGGTAACAATAATCACAAAATTATTTATAAATGTAACATTGTATGTAATCTTCATTGCTTAAGCGAGATAGGTATTAATAATTCTTGAGCCGATATTCAACCCGTAACCGTTAAATAACGGCCATTTTCATGCGCCATCTTGTCGTACGAAACTTGAATTTAGAACATTTACTCAAAATGGCGGTATCAACTGCAGCATGCTGCTTTTGGGAAATTACACGCACAAGGATCTGTCGTTATGCATTCCGCCGGGCATATGCATTCGCATGCTGAAAGTAATATTATATTAAAATCGAACTCTAAAATAAAGAAGAAAAAAGACAAGTCTTCTTGAAAAATTTTATTCAGAGGTAACATAATGTTAATGTTTTTCCGGTATATGTGACAAAATATTTCTTATTTGTGGAGAATTTGCCCCGTTCAGCGCTGGATTGCCAATGAATGTGCCGCTCTGGTTAGGAGTTAGGCTTAAATATGTATGCTTATGTACGTACGTTTGTAATTATATATATGTATGTATGTTAGTCTTTTTGTAACACCTATAGTTTAATCGTTCTGGCGGATTTTAAATTCACAATGTATTTTTTTAAAATTATTATTAATAATAATAGATCACCTCAGTCAGGATTTTTAGTAGAAAATAATAAATAAAATAATGTTTATTTCAACATTTTTATTTTATTTATTATTTTTAACAACTCAATTTGTAGGTTTGTTATTGAAATGCAATTTTTTCTTCCGTTTGAAATTAGTTCTCTTTCTTTCTGTTCGACCAAATTTATTTTAAACCTTTCCTTGAAAACTAAATAAGTTTTAAAGATAGCAAATATGTGATAAGAGTGTGTATATCACAACTTACGTTTACAGTCTCCATAAGAGCATGGATCTATATATTCGGAGCAATCTTCACCAGGTGGCAGGAACGAGGAACGATATACAGTAGTGCTGTCCAGCTGTAAGGAAGCGTAAACTTACATAAAATCGAACGTTTTATTGTGTTGTAGCTGATATCCTAAAACCAATTCTAGTAATTTGCACGTGGTAGAGCCATGCTGCAGCTATATTTCTGGTATAGTTTTAAGACGAATGGGTCGGCTCGACCGGGGAAGTACCACGCTCTCACAGAATACCAACGTAAAATAGCAGCTTAACGCTGCTGTTTCGTATGGTGAGTGTAGAGAACCGGAGACCTTTTTTCAATGGAAACGAGGCATTCCATCTTAGTCCTGACGGGTGACAACGCATCTGCATTTTGACCACTTACCATCAGGTGGACTGTGTGCTCGTTTGTCACCCTTATCCTATAAAGAAAAGACCCACGTTACAGTTAGCATAACATAAATTAAGTTGTGACTTGTGATTATAGCTTACCAACTTCAAACAAAAACGAAGGCCACAGATGTGTTGTCACCTCTCTGAGGACTGAGATGTAGCCTTACAGCCTGTAGTTATACCGGCTCTAAACTTTTCATATCGGAATATACAAGTGCATCCACTGATGTTTGGTGGTCATATCTGTCTGTATTTGTGACAGAAATAGGTAGGTAGAAAGAGTGTGGAAGGTACCTAACTACTACTGCAGAAAACTAATCTTATCGCCTAGTAATCAATTCAATGCTACTGGAAGAATCTGGGATCGAACTGGTAAAGATAAATTAATAAATGTTCAAAACAGCTCTCGGTTCAGTGTATGAAGTATTACTTCTAGTTTATAAATAATATTTTTGTTTTTAATTTATGTTTGTCCATAGTATGGCAGTAATACAAAGAGACTTAAAAATGCTTATGCAATTGCAAGTGACCCGAATTTTGGGTAGTCAGTGATATCTATCGTCTCGGTATAAAGAGATTATTATTTTTAGAATAAATAAATTATTGCAATGACTACGATTTGTTTATTTATATTTCATTCGTAAGTATGGTTCGAAATTTTGGGCATGGACCGGAGCTGTGAACTAGATCTTAGACCAATTTGCGACCAATTCTTCATGCAGAAACTCAAATAAGTGGGGCGTATATTGCCAAACTATCTTAATGCATGCTGGTTAGAAGAGTTGAAACGTTTGAGACCATGTCCAGAAAAGGACTTCTGAGGCTGTTGGCTCTTGTAAAGTTTGTTGGAGAAGGAGAATAATTTTAAAATTGGAATAGCATTTATTCAAAAAATCGGATTATGATTGTTATGAAGCCCAAGTTTGCCTTTTTTTTAAACAAATCGGCTTCAAGATTATTACGTTAATCAATAGAACAGATGATCATATCTCACTGGAACACTCGTAGCGTAAATCTTCCTTTATATAAATATAATATGATAAAGAACTAGATCTATAACAGGGTGTGACTTAATGACTTATTCTTCTCTCAGCTATCTGATCTAGAGTGTAGACTAGGCGATTTGAGAGCTGGGACTGATTCATTTGAAAGTTCATGTGATCTCCACACCTTAACCGGCTCAGAACTGAGTTACGCGCATCTATATCGAATACTTGCTTGAAAAAAACAGAGTCTTACAAGAACTTTCTGGAACTTGCGTCACAGCTCACACTTTAGGGATCTTACGATAAATTAAAAATAAGAAACTAAATAAGAAACTAACCCTCTGACAGGGCTTTTGGTATTGTCCTTTGCAAGCCCAAGGCGGTCGTTGCGGAGCGGGAGCACATACTGGCTGGTAGGACATTTTTTGAATTGTGCACGACTCCATTTTAGCTGCATAAAAATATTAAAATAATTAACAAACAAAATATGACTTTAAAGAAAAGTCCTATTTAACAAAAATAACATACCTGATGGCTTCTCATAGCATTTAACAGGAGCGAAAGATTCAGGTACTTTTATGCGACCAGGGTCCAGGTAAGACATGCGGTTCACGGTGCGGTCTGCAAAAACGGGCATTTTTTTTAATTAAAAAAAGAGCATTTTTCACTTTGTGAAATAAAGTATAATAAGTATGACACGTACTTTCGAAAGGTTGCTCGACACAATGAAATTTGGCAGGCGGCTTGCAGGACTCTCTAACTGCGCACGGTTTTGGTACAAAGTCGTGGCGCTGCGTGGTAATATTCTGCATGGGGCCCTGGCCCCACATGTCGTGGTGGCACGGTCGGATAAGCTGAGTCACACATACCGGATTGGGCAAGAATGACAGCTGAAAAAGTTATATAATAATATAAGTAAATCGTATAGCATATTCACCTGTCAAACGTAGCGGTTTAGGCCAATCCTATATAGCAGAACTGGACATTTACATGTCGATAAAAAAGAAGAAACGGATTAGTAGCTAACGTGATAATAGATCGTCATTTTGTTTGAAGAACTGACCTGACAACTGATGGCGATAACAGGGTTAGGACGGCAGTTTTGTACTGGTAAGCGGAGTGTCGGTCCCCCACTAGATGGGAGGGATGAATTGGTAAGACATACAGGAAGTCTATGGTATCGAACATCATCTTATCTTAACATAATAAGTATTTGTGTTGCGTTTTGCATTATTAAAATGGGTTACGTCATAGGTAGAGATGAAATTAAATATAATGACAATGATAACAATAATGACTTTGACCTAAGTGATAACTTTCTTTAAATGTCAAAAACTATTAACAGTGCAAGGGATAGTATTAGTTGATCTGATGTGTTCCGATTTTAAGGATATAAAGAGCCAGTATAGTCACAGGCTGATCATAGTCATTATGATGATAATGAAGGTATTTCATTTTAGTCCTCAGAGGTGACAATGTATCAATAGTGTAGCCTTTTTATTGTAGTCATTGGGCTGCAGTATTCACTAAGCATCAGGAAGACTGATAAATTTGTTTTTCAATTCAATTTTACAAAAAATAAAAAAATTACCACAAGTGTAGCTATGTGTTAAAACAATCGCTTACTGGACCTGATCTACCCTCCTTTTTATGGGGGAAATGTCTTAAACATATCCTTCTCACGGGGATAAGAACGGGTTTTCTTTGATTCGCACCTAAAACTCTATAGTTAACCTTCGCATTCCGCATTCGCATAAGGCCACGGAAACGCACATGCACACATCCTTAGTCCCACTAAGCTAGCTGCCTCTAGGAGGTCTATTCGTGAGAGAGGACAACTGTTCTTTCTATCCCACCTAAGGTAAAACGCGTCTGAACACAAGGCACGCTTTCTTACACAGCCTTCATTTCCAATGTAGCGGGAAAAGAGATGACCTACCTCTGTCGGATTTAACGTAAAAGAATGGAGTGACCTTTACAAGCGGTGTTTGAGTCACGAGGGTGTTTTAAACTTTCAGCAGTGGCACTTGCAACCACTAGACCCACTAGGCAGTTAAATTAAAAAGGTATATATTACTCATAAAAAATATTTTTCGTACTTTTAGTCAATTTGTAAAAACTGTCTGGCAATACGAAGTAGTCTGCAGATAATGTACTTCAGACTATACTTTGGTCACGGCGACCAGTCTCAACGGAGACTAGCCATCTGCGCAGGATTATAGTGCCCGTGTGTTTGTGCAAGCACAAGTCCTATCACTATTCCCTCACTTTCATAGTTCGATGGGACCCCACACGACCGGAGAGAGATCAGACGCAGGACTTACAGCTTTACGTACTTTCCAAGGCACAGGGCTATACTGCTACTGAGAATTTCTTCCAAAGGGGCCATCAGTCGGCTGATATGCTTATCAGCCAGGATTTTAATAAGTGATTAACATTATTTAATCATAAAAGAACGGAAAAATAATAAAAACGCCTTCAGAGATTATCAAGAAAAATGTTTCATTGTCAGATTAAACCATCTCGTATAAAAAGTACAAAGTAAAAAGTACAGTGGTAAATTTTACCTTGTGAACAGTATCTCCTTCCATTTGGGCTGTGGACGGAACTAGGTTTGACGGTGGTTTTACTGGTGGTGGTCTTGAGGCTTCGGCAGGCAAATAACTATAAAAAAATAAAATGAACAATTAACTAACTGTAGGAGCTGGATGTTATATAATATGCTGTATATAACTGAATCATCATTACAGTCCTTCACAAGTCCACTGCTGAACATAGGCCTCCCCCAAGGAATGCCAAAAAGCACGATCCCGAGCCACCTGCATCCATCGATTTCCTGCATGTCTTACCAGGTCATCACTCCATCTAGTGGGTGGACGGCATAGATGTGATATGGACGTTAAACATGATCTTTGTTTTGTCCATGTTCATCTTAAGACCTATCCGTTGGGAAGCACTATTGAGGTCATTGAGCATAGTGCTCAATGACCTCAATAGCTTAGGTCCTCCAGCGATTCTGCCATAAGGACTATATCGTCGGTAAATCGAAGGTGACTGATGTACTCGCCATTGACGTTAATACCGTATCCTTTCCAGTCCAGTAGCTTGAAAACGTCTTCAAATGCAGCGGTGAACAGTTTCGGGGATATAACGTCACCCTCTCTTACACCTCTCTGCCGTTGGATAGGTTCGTAATCTAATTCTGAACTCTGATAGCCATCGTAGCCCTACTGTACAAACATTTCAGAACTTCGATATACAGACAGTCAACTTGGCACCGCTGAAGGGACTGTAGCACCGCCCAAATTTCGACGGAATCAAATGATTTCTCATAGTCCATATAGTCTATGCAAAGTGGCAGATTCTTCAGTCTTCTGTACAATTTGCCGAAGGGTATGTATGTAGTCTATCGTACTACAGGCATTTCAGAAACCGGCTTATTCTGGACGCTGGAAGTCGTCGAGTCTGCGTGCGAGACGATTCGTAATGACTCTCGAAAACAGCACGTAGACGCGCCTCAGAAGGGAAATCGGACTGTAGTCGATTTTGAGTTCTGTTTGGTAATTTTGAGGTACGTAACCCTCGTCGATACACTCCCAATCTTTACAACATTGTTAACGAGGGACTTGTGAACGATAAATGCGACACCTCCTTGGGACAGATGGTCGCCCTCCCAGTGATAGAACAAGTTGCTGAATTCGAGGATTACCATGGCCTCCCCTCTCTTCGGACCTCTGATTATCCTATAATATGCCAGCGCAACTTGTCTATCTCTTCTTCGAACTCCAAGATCTTCTCGTCAGTCCTCAAGGTGCATATGTGCCAAGTGAAGTCATTAGTATCGTTGCTCATGGGGGTATACTGCCATAGTTGCTACGCTTGGTGAGCGGGTTGGCAACCGCAGTTTTTTTTATTGATTTTTGCTTTTATGAGAAAGATCCTGCTGTCCATCTTATGCCTCAGTTTCCCTATCTCGCCTCTTACGACACCCACGGGAAATGTGGGGTAGTTGTTGCAGGCACACAATATCTAACCTTAAGACAAAATTTCAGCCTACTAAACTTATATCCCCACTAAAGATGGCCCTGAGGCGGCGGCACATTCAGTGCGTACATTTTTAACAAACTCTGACGCTAATGTTCTTGTATAAGATGACCTAAGGAATGCTTTTGACTCTATATATATTGTAATGTAACCCTGCTGAAAGAAATGACTAACAACACCTCCGAAATTTTAACATTACGTTTGATAATATTATTACAGTCAAAATATTGATGTTTTTTAGGAAAACCAATATAATATTATCGGTTCTGCTGTCGGTGTTCGGCGTGGTGACCTACTAGGTCCTGCTTTTGTCAGTTTATGAATTCAACCAACTCAATTTTTTCAATTATTTCAAATTTGAAATCCTGAATGTCTGGTACCTGGATGACGGTACGATGGGAGGTAGAGCAGATGACGTCCGTATTTTACAAAATTTAAGAAATAATGGTTTCTTATATTAACGCGAACGCTATACATTGAATAAAACTACTTTTACGGATTCTATCGCGTTTAATTATTTTTATTAATTAATATTATTATAACGAGACGATGACCATGACGATGACCATGAAGATGACTATAAAGATGACCAACACGATGGCCTTGACCAAGGCGATGACCATGTTGATGACCATGACGATGACCATGACAATGAGCATGACGATGACGATGACAATGACGATGATGATGATGATGAAGATGAAGAAGAAGATGACGACGACGATGATGACAATGATTATGGCGATGACGACGACGGCTACGGCGACGGTGACGACAACGATGATGGCGACGACTACGGCGACGACGATTACGACGATGACAACGACGATGATGATCATGACTATTACGATGACGATGACCATGACGGTGACCATGACGATGACTATGACGATGACCATGACGATGACCATAAAAGTGACCATGATCATCAAAATGATAATGACGAGATGATGACGATGATGATGATGACGATAACAAATTTTCACACTTATAATATTAGCATTGGATACCTGTTCTTGTAAATGGTCTGTGATTCAAATCGCTTGGACGGGGTGACTGGATTTATGCAGCTATTCGGTATGATGGCCCGTCGTCGGCAGTCGCTTTTAGCATCCAGGTAACTGAAAAAGAAATACAGTATGCACATATGAATAGAGTATTCACTTTGTGAAAAGTACAGTGCAGCCTATACACATGTCCGACTTCTAGGGACTGGCCATTCATTCCTGGGTGAGGGTTATGGAGCAAACAGACTGCCGCATATCTTCATTGCGTGTAGTTGCGTGACAAGATGTGCGCAGCCCTCTACTAGATGGAGTGATCCAGGTCGATATGCAAGAAGTAGATGATATTTCATCAATATCACTTTAATTTTCAACAATTTCATAAATAATGGTTGAAAGACGAATATGGCATTTGGTTAGGGAACTATTACACTCTCAAAGTTATAATAACAGCTAAATGTTGTTATATTTCTTATGATGAGTGTAGGGAAACAAAATTCTCTAAACTGGTTACGAGGCATTCTCTCTTAAATAGATGCATTAAAACGTTCTCTTTGCAGATTTTCAACCAGGTTGACGACTCCTAAATAATCGGAAGCTATCAGCTGCCGCAAGTACGTGTTAACACAGAGGTGAAGTGTACCCCCACGATAATATATATTAGAGTGACGTTTAGATTAATGTCCTCCAAACAGAATTTAGGTCACGGCGACCAGCCTCAACAGAGACTAGACATCGGCGCAGGACAGGATTATAGTCCTCAAGTGTATGTATAAGTACAGGTGCACTCTCTATTCCCCCACTCTCCGATGGGATGGTAAACTGACACGACCGGAGAGAGATCAGGCGCAGGATCAACGGTTTTACGTGCTTTCCGAGGCACGGGGGCGTGACACCACCAACTTCCTGACTCCGGGCAGCTACTGAGAATTTCTTCATGAAAACGCTCAATAACTGTTTATATAATAATTTTTTTGGCTCGACCCGGTATTCGAACCCAAGGACCTCATGATCAGCAGTTGCGTTACTACAACCACTAGACCATCGAAGCAGTTTAAATTAGTAGTAATATCATTAAAGTCCTAGACAGAACAAAACACCTCTCTTATTGACACCCTTTCCAACATTAGGGCGCGTTCCGACGACACGCACCCATACAATTAAACAAATATACAATTTCAGATCTATTGATTTTTCATAAGACTTAAATTATATGCAACAAATTTCAAAGCGAGTTAGACGCGGGTGCTGACGCGCGTGACGTGCGCGTAGCGGGTGCGTGTCGTCGGCACGCGGCCTTACATGGCAACTCTGCCAGGACCCCACTGTTGCTGGTCTACTCGTGCCAGATATTACGGTGAAGAATAGAACAGAACAAGTTTTATTCAATAGACTACAAGAATACATATTGAGTCATTTATGCTTTGTACCACTGCACTGGTTCGGAAAAAGCGATGGGAGAGACGTCAAGTAAAGTTACAGTCTATATACGTCCCACTACTTTTTGGTCAAGGAAATATCGGAATGTTTGCGGACTTCACATGTCTTCGAAAAATAGTTTTTTTTTTAATTTCTTAGACATGCAGGTTGTCTCACAATGTTTTCTTTCATCGCTGAGCACGTGATAAATCAGCAATTAGCAATTTCATTTTCCCTCTTCTTCTTTCTCAGCTTGGGTCATTGTTAGACATGGGTTATTCCGTTTATCCACCCTAGGGTGGACAGTCGGACACGCGTGTTCACCCCTAGTACAGTTTAACAGATAATGTATTATATATACATTATTTGTTAAACTGTACTTTACTTATATATTATTGATTAATTTTTAAAAACCACAAACTTAAACAAAAATATTATATTTATATTTATATAATATTTAAACTAAATTAAACTTCCTAGTTTAATATAATAAGTAACTTATAAATTCTGCAATATGTCCAGGAAATGATCAACAATAATTTCATTATGGAGTAGACGTAATTGTACATCGTTGATAAATTCGTCTCTTTTAATATACATTTGCAATCGTTTTCTAAATTTCTTTGTTACAACAGATGTGTTAGCGACAAAACGGGCGGTTTTTGCAAGCAATCCAAAAACTTTACAAAATTTGGATATTTGTCTTTAACCCCATTTGAAATAGTTTTATGCCAACATTCTAATAAATTTGTAGTTCTGCGTGGCACTCCGAATGCATTCCAAACAGCCACATAATTTTCGCCCTTTAGGCATGTCTTTTCATAGTATTTCACAAACGCCATTATGTTATCATCATTATTCAAAAAGATTTAACAAACAGCCATCCCTCAGTTGGTAGTGTCAATCTTACTGTAAGTAGCACTATTCTCCTCGTATCCGCGTATTTATTGATACCTAGGTTATTTGCTCGTTTTTGAATGCACTTCACATAATACTTTGATATTTTAAACAAGAAGTATACATGTATCTCTATAAGTATGCTAATGTGTACTAAGTAATCTTGGGACAGTTTATATCATGTTTCTATAAACGACTGTACACGGGCGAGGGGAAAATCGAAAGATAATTATAATACACGAGTTCCGATTATCCACCGCGTCTGGGATGAATAAACGAACACGCGTTTCCGGGATTTCTTAGGGTTGGTAAACGGAATAATCCGCTAATTTGGCCTAATCGTCATGTTTGACAGGCGGATTTGCGAAAGGAGTACCAGACATTTCGCACCTTTGACATTGCGTTCCGTCGCCGAGGTCTGGCTATGTTACGTTTGGTGTAACGATATAGATAGTTTTACCGCCATCTATGGGAAGCTATAAGATTTTTATGGCACTTCCCACAGTCGCCTCTTACGACACCCACGCGACGAAATGAGGTGATGAGGGTGATCCTCCTCTGCCAACAGCACACGATACGGTGGAGCTTTCAGTTCAAAATTATACTAAAAGTTTGTTAAGATTCCATTAAATTATTCATTGACAAATCAATGTTTTTTGTTATTAATATCGATTATGATGTTAACACCATCTTATTATATCTATATGTTTGCATTGCAGTGGTAGAATAGAAAAGAGCGATTATCTTCTCTTGATTCAACCGTATGAAGGGGCAAACTTTTGGTCAGCCAAAATGTTATTCTAGTCAATGTAATTCGAAAAAAGGCTTTACATTAAGTTCATTGCCGACCTATAACTTAATATCTTATCCGTCCAATTAACCGGTTGAATCTGTTGATTGGCATCGGGCAACGACAGAGTACTAGTACCTAAGTACACGATAATGGATTTCTACTAACAATACTGTTAAGTATACTTACTCGTATACTGTATATATTATATTACTAATGTTTGTGAACAAAAACCGAAAATGGAACTAAATTTTGCCCGTCATTCTAACCGTAATTTGTTTAAATTTAAAAACAATTTGTATACTTGAAGAATGGAGTATTAATAAAAGAAAAACATATTTTTTGTCATTCATTAAAGCTTTATAACGTGTAGCATTCAGGAAGTTATAAAAAATGTCTTCTAGCTAATTTCATTTTGTTTTGTAAGAGTAAGCTTTATAACGTGTAGCATTCAGGAAGTTATAAAAAATGTCTTTTAGCTAATTTTGTTTTATAAGAGTAATCTTTATAACGTGTAGCATTCAGGAAGTTATAAAAATGTCTTTTAGCTAATTTTGTTTTATAAGAGTAAGCTTTATAACGTGTAGCATTCAGGAAGTTATAAAAAATGTGTTCTAGCTAATTTTATTTTGTTTTATTACAGTATTTTTTTTGTATAATATAATTTTTATAATTTAAGTCTTCTTCTGCGAGAATGCAACCCAGAGAAAAATGAATTAAAGAATCTTCCATACATCAAAAGCGCAATTGGTGTATTGTAAATGTCGTTATAATATTTCGCATTTCTCCACTGCAGCAATGACTACTTTGTTGCTAATGGTATGGGGCATCTTATTCGAAGTTACTTTATATAGGTTAAAAATGAACAGTCAGCTCTCGCGAGAAGTCGTAAAATTTTATTTATAATAAATATGTTGTTATGTAATATTAGTTCTTTCAACAAGTTTATTACATCAGGCGAGTAGTGTCTTTAAAATGTAAAAAGCTAGTGTCCGAAAATTAAATTACTCATTGAAGTTAGCATGTATGTAACTAGATTTTTAATTTAGAACCCATTTCTAAGTAAACACTATGTACTATTAAACTTGATAGCATTAGAGATACAAAGCATTCATGTGTATTTTGCAACATAATCCTACCTAAGTACATCTTTCTTTAACGTAGCATTATCCACAATAATACGATTACCTCGAATGTGTCTGTAGACTTTAAGAGACTTTTAGCTAGTTACAATATAGATCATATTGCATCATATACAATTTAGGTGGTATTACAATATGGATCGTTATTATTAATTTTTAATAATATCATCCATTTTAAAGAAATGTGCAAGTAAAACGTAATGGCATAGCATGAAAATAATGACGATTGACCGCATAACCCAGATGACGGTTAATGTTCATTACTGTACTGTGTCGAGGTGACGTAACATTAACCAATGTAACGTCCCGTATATAGATATCATTACGAAGGTGACGTAAGGGGTGACAGAGGAAAACTGTAAATAAAAGACTGCGGATGCCAACCCACCTGCCCAGCATTGCAACTATGACATATTCCTCCCCATGAGGCGATCTATGGAGGAGGATTTTATAGGCTGAAATAGATGGATAACAACAAGTAATTTATTAAAGTGGCTTTTGGAAAAATAATTTTATTCGATAAATGAACTGCTGAGAATAAAATAATGTAATTAATTCCAGCCGCTCGATTTCACCATCGCGATACCATCTGGATGATTATCGGTCCACTGATGTGCGATTTAGAAGAAGTTTTCTTCCTCGCACAACTTCCTTGTGGAATCGATTACCATCAGCGATTTTTCCGGACCGATACGACTTAGGAACCTTCAAGAAAAGAGCCTACTCCTTTTTAAAAGGCCGGCAATGCATCTGCAATTCCTCTGGTTCCCCTGGTGTTGCAGTTGTTCATGGGCGGCGGTAGTCACTTACCATCAGGTGAGCCACATGCTCGTTTCCCCCTCTCCTATTAAAAAAAAGTTTCTATGGACTGTTAAACGCTGTTTTCTCTTTGATCGTGTTTTAAAGAGTTAATATCAAAATTGTTAACGCACTTTTGTTTTTTTTTAAATATTGTAATATAACTTTTCATATATCTAAATTGGTGAAATATGTGATACTTTGGTATTTTATACGAACATCTTTCTACCATGTTTCTTATGAATATATTTATTATTATTATTATTACTATCTATATATTATAACCACTCATGTTGAATTACTCAAATAATACGATTATCAAGTCCACTCCCATTATTGCATCTCATCACGTTGGGGTCGTCAGAGTCGTATACTTATGGGCTTGCGGCATAATATGCAGAACATTTTAACCCTCGCCGCAAACAGAGGGGTGTTATGTTTAACGTGTGTATCTGTGGATGTATGAATCTGTGTATCTGTGTGTCCGTTTTTGTCATCGTAGCTCCCGAGCGAATGAACCGATTTAGATATTTTTTTTTTATTTGAAAGGTGACTTGATTTGTAGAGTTCTTAGCTACGGTTCAAGAAAAATATTTTCAATCTTTTGAAGGTCATTAGCTCTTTTTGTTTAGGGGGTTTTTAAATTATAAATTTAAGATATCTACAAAATAGAGTAACAAACACACATACAGTCGACCGATGGTAAGTGGATACTACATCTGCACCCAACGTTTAACGGTGCGTATACATTATATAACATAACATGTTATAAAACATGTTTCAGTAATGTGGAGGCTGAATGTAATAAAACGTGTTACATAACGTGACACAAATGTTATATAACTCGAAGGGCAGAACGACAAACGACAATGTCATACGACAATGTCATATAACATTGTTATATTGCATTGTTATTCTAATGTGTACAGTATTGTTATATGTTGCAATGTTGAAAAATAATGTTACATAATGTGGACGTGTTGTAAAACAAAAGTTACACAACATGTTACTTAATCTGTACGCACCCTAAGAAAGAAGACTACAGGTGCATTGTAACCTATGAGGACGGAGATGGAAAGGTTCTCTATACGCCTCAAACCGGAACACAATAGTTCAAGCACTGCTATTCAGTGGCAGTAATACGTAGGAGGGTAGTACACAACTAGACCGACTCCTAGGTAGAATAGGAGTTTATCTAGTAACTATTATCTTGTACATACTAAATATAAAATAATATATAAAATTACAATTGATAAGGATATATAACGACGAGTGAACACAGGAAATAGAGTGAATGGGGCTCTACACATTATTGTGGGGAGTGAGAATGTGTTCAAAAAGGCACGTATGGTAATTCACAATGTTGTATTAGTCCCTATTTTAATGTATGGTAGTGAAAGTTGGGTGTGACAGAAGAAGCACGAGAGTAAAATAAATGCTGTAGAAATGCGGTCATTAAGGCGTATGTCAGGGATGAATCTGAATGACAGGAACAGCTAGTAAAATAATAAAATCGTGGTAGCTCAGATGGTTAGCGGTCGCTGTAAAATTCACAGTACGCGAGCAACTCGTGTTCGATCTCCGTCGGCACCAACGAAATTGATTATTGCAATTTTAAGTGCTGACTTACCACGTGCTCGGCGGTGAAGGAAAACATCGCGAGGAAACCCGCATGTTGGATAAATAAGAAAACAATATTTCGTACACATGTGAAGTTCGTCAACACGCATTGGGGCAGCGCGGCGGACATTTCCTTGCCCTAAAACCCTCTCAGAAATGAAAGGAGGTCTATGCCCAGCAGTAGGCTGTAACTTTTAACTTTAAATAAATTAACAAATACTATACAAAATTTAGTATCAAAGTACGTAAGAAATTTTCTTTTAAATCAATTGACGAACGGTCTACATTCCTATAGCTCTGTCTTAAGGAATTACTTTGAAACTTGGCACCGGCTAAGATATTAACTCCTTTAACTGCGAATCCAACAACCACGAACGTCGATTTCAACTTTTACCATTTATGTTTTTGGCGGCATCAATATATAATTTACCTTAGGGTGTATGTTGTGTTGTCTTCTATTCGCTGACAGGGTTTCTGGTACTGACCCTTGCATGCCCAAGGAAGAGGCTCCTTGGGTTGCACCTGATGATAACATAAGGTTTTAAAATTAAATTTAAATCAGATACAATGTAAATGCAACTATGGATAAACTTTCTCAATTTTTTTGACATGGGGTATCAAAAAATTTTTTTAGAGTGAAGTATATGGAGTATGAACAAATCTTCCCATTAATGCCTATCAGATCGTGTGTTTTTTGGAAGGCTTATCTCCAGTTGTGGTTTCTGAAGAACTGCATATATGCAGAGTTGTTCATAAACCATAACTGGAGATGCTTCGTACATATATATGTGTAATACAACATAACTATATGTTTGTTGTACAGTGTTGGTTAGCCGTTCTCTGAGCTGTATACGAGTATCTTGACCGATCGTAGACTCCCCGTTTTCCTCCAATAGATTTTTTTTGTAGAATAAGGGTGACGAACGAGCACACAGTCCTCCTAATGGTAAGTAGATACTGTGGCCCATAGACATCAACATTTATCCTCAATTAAGAATCAAAATGCAGATGCGTTGTCACCCCTGAGTACTGAGATGGAATGCCTCGTTTCCAGTAAAAAGAGTCGCCGGTTCTCTACACTTACCATATGAAACGCAGCAGCAATTGGCTGCTATTTTACGCTGGTATTCTGTGGAAGCATGGTCGATTCGACCCATGTGTGATACAACCATAATATAGCTGCAGCGTCGCTCTGCCACGTACAAAAGATATGCAGTAAAATAGTTTTCAGTTGCGTCTGCGTACAACAGGGCATAGGCAGTTGGTTTTCTCCCGCGGTCGTGAATAATGAGACCTTTATTTAAGTAACGATATAATGTGTACATATCATACATATACACACAAACATAACCAAGTCAAATTCAAAGTTAAAATATTGTTATTCAAAAACGTCCTTTATAATATAATAACAACAACTTATACAAAACATTAAAAAAAATCAAAAGCTACGCCATGGCTTCAAGAAGTCCTTCCGCGGGATACTTTGTGATAAGAAGCGCTTACCGTTTAAAGTAAGGTAAGTTAAGAAAGGTAAGGTGAAAAAGGTAAGGTAAGAAAGTAAGGCAAGAAGGTAATTCTACTAACAGTTACAATTTAACCTTATAACATATATACTTAAGTAAAGAAGTCTAAGGAAGCTCATAATGTCCACGCATTCTTATCTTTCAAATGATCATCTAATTTATAGTTAAGTTACAGCCTAAGTACGTCCCACTGCTGGACACAGGCCACCCCTCATTTCTGAGAGGGTTTTAGGGTAAGGAATGCATGTTAGCGAACTTCACGTCTTCGAATTTTTTTTCTTATTCCTCAGACATATGCAGGTTTTCTCACGGTGTTATCCTTCATCGCCGAGCCCGTGCTAAATCAGCACTTAAATTGCAATTAAAAATTCCATTGATGCCGTCGGGGTTAAACCCGGGCGAAATTTACAGCGAGCGCTTAGACCCACAGCTACTAATACGACACAAATAAATGCGATTCAACGAATATAATAAAAACTCTTACGTACTTAAAACTTAATCACTTGATAGGGTGGATGCCCCTAATACCAGCCACGCCCCTAATTCCAGCCTTTTCGGCTTTTTACTTCTTAATTAAGGTTTCTAGTAGTCTTAACTACAAATATTGTCGGCTAAAAATTCTTCGTTACTAGAGGAAAGTTACATTTCAAATATTACAACACAGTTATAAATCTAAGTCTTAAATTAAAAATCAAAACACGCACGTAATGGAAAACGCTAATTTTCCTAATTTTTTGACAAGTTATGGTCTCGATAAAATTAAGTATATTTTACATTAGCTTATCTTTAGGCTTTTTGATTTGTATGAATGTGACTATAGACATAGTAATGCAGCTATTTTTGTGTAAATTAATAAGTTTTTTATTTTCTTTTAGTGGAAATAAATGGGGCTGTAACTAGATATACGAAATGTATGGAGTGCATAATGTCAGCCATCAGGCTGAGATTGGGTTTGACGTACGTAATAAGAAGTACCTAATTTCAGCCACGTAATATAAATCAGGGCTGTCATAAAATGGAATAAATACCATTAATTAGAACATAAGTTATTTTATAGATAAGGAATTTATGATCAATTCGTCTATATTTTAAATTGGTTTTTGATTCAAAAGTTTAGCAAATGACACGTACTTGCTTTTCTATCAGACATTTGGTATTTGCTAAGAACACCATACAATATTTAATTATTTTTTGACAAAGACAAAAACTAACAATAAATATAATTAAGTACAACTTAGTAATACTGATTTTGCTGTAACTTAAGAACATAAATGAAAAAGTCATAACAAGGGAAGTGGTTTAGGAGCATGCTTTGTGGCAGTCTATTTAGGATGATGTTCTGTAGTGGACTTGTGAAAGGCTGAAATGATGATGAAATTTCAAAAACTTTGATGATTAATTTATAAGAAATCGATGTACATAATTTTTATTATAATTTGTGTTAATGAATTTTTTGGTGTTAAAAGAAAAATGGAACTGCTTAAAGCTAAAACGTGGAATATGTATTAACATCTGTCGTAATACATATTCCACGCTTGTGAACTGGATGATTCAAAATTAAAAGTTGTTACGAATTTAATTTTAATGCTCCTAAAACTTACCTACAATAGGTACCTACCAAAAACTCAAAAGGCATAGCCCTATGCTATGCTGGCATTAGATACACAAAAGAACGACATTCGGTTCAGGGTGGTTGGAATTTGAGCCATAACGCCTTCTTTTGCTTATCGTCGTTTTTAAAATTGTTCATAAAATAATATGATTCTAAATCAATGATCATTATATTTTTAGATAAATAACCTATCGATTAAAATAAATGTATAAAAATTTTGTGCGCTAATTAAAATAGCAATAATTTTTAAAGTTGGAATTGGCACTAAGGCTGGTAATAGGGCATCCACCCTAGCTCGTGATGCCTACCGGACGAAGCTACAGCACCACATCGTGCAATGTAATTGAAGATGTTTAACCGCGACATAACTGTCAGTGACGCGCAAGCACAATAGGTAGTATATTACTTATACACTTGTCACCTCTGCAATCTATTAATTTTTGCACTTTTCTAAGTAATACAGAACGTAGTCGCTAGACGGTGTTGACGTCGGCTAAAATCTCTGCGGTTGCCGTTTCGTCAAGGTCATTCAGGCTTCTTAAGCCTTAAAAGAACTTTGTTCTGTTTTTCGATATTTAGTTAACATCAGTGACAACTTTTTATTATATTCAAACCCTCACACACTAGATTGCCCCTTACACATATACAGACAAGGTAGTAGTACTACATTAATATTGAAGTTTGAATTGTATTGAATATGACATAATATTGAAATACTTCACGTACTCGTAAGTTCAAACGGTTTCTTAAAATGGATATTACTAATATGTTACCTAGCCTAAATGTTAACGCGTCATCATTGTCATATAGCGATTAAGAAAGATGATCGTGTGTACATATAGTACATCAGGGTATTATGGTCATCCGGTTAATATGGTCACTTACTTACAACTCAAGAACTACAAGTTGTTTACAAGGATGGCTTTGTGACACGATAGCTCTTCATCAGTCAATCAAATAATAAAGGGTCAAAAGGGCGCTGCTTTATCGACCCCATTTTGACAGTTTACATTATAGTAAATATTTTAGTAGATTTTAGTATTGTGTAGCGTAGTTAATTTTTTTAAGTCAATTTTTCGATGTGTTCCTAATTACTGCCAAAGCTTGTTTGCTACTTTTTTCGTAATATACCAGTTATAGTATGCAACTTTGTGTTTTTGTCTCTGTGCTCCTCCTAGTTATGGTTTTATAGGGCGGCAAAGCTTAAGGTGTTCATGTTACCCTAACGTACCTTAGTACTTGGTAGTGGTACTTGGCTTTTACGTCTTCGGCCTCAGTTCGAATTTCATAGTAAATAATTTAAAATTTAAAATTTCGTACAGCCGACTTCAATATAAGCGACTTCAATATAAGTTATTTAAGAATAACTCAATAACCATTGGTCTGACCTTGATCAAATTCATATAGGACCACACGAGAACTATCAGCTTTCATATAAAAAAGAATCATCTAAATCGGTTCACCCAGTATAAAGTTATGAGGTAACACACATAAATAAAAACATACAGTCGAATTGAGTACCGTCTCCTTTTTGGAAGTCGGCAGAAAACACTAAAAGTTTTTAATATAGTTTGTGTTGTATTGTCTCCGTATCATTGACACGCATTTTTTTCATAAAATTGTTGTGAGAAAAGAAATTGCAGTCAATCCGATGGTAAGTGGCTACTGTAAGCTTTGGAAACCTGGACCTAATTTCAAACTGTTGAAGGCTACATTTACAACTACTATTGCCGTGTAGTGGCGGTTAAGAATATCCACTACCCCATATCTTCCCGTGGGTGTCGTAAAAGGCGACAAAGGGAAACAGGCAGGACGTGGGCAGCAGCATCTTCCTGATAACAACAAACTTACAATAAAAAATTCGGTTGCCAACCCGCTCGCCAAGCGTGGCAACTATGGCAAATACCGCCCAGATGATGAGAGTAACAAAGAAACGGCCCCCAGTCCCCGGCGGCCCCGCTATTCCTGGCTACGGTGGCGACCATGGTAACGGCGGGGCAGGGGGTGCTAAGAATCTCGGGTGGAGGTTCGGTTGCCACCTAAGACGACTCGACCTGGCAACATACAACGCACGCACCCTGAGGACTGACGAGAAGATCGTGGAGCTGGAAGAAGAGATAGACAAGTTACGCTGGCATATTATAGGATTATTCGAAATCCGAAGAGAGGGGGAGGACACGGTAATCCTCGAATCCGGCAACTTGCTCTACTTATTATGTACAATTTGCCACTATGTCTGGCGTAAGTGGACTATGAGAAAGCCTTTGATTCCGTCGAAATTTGGGCGGTGCTGCAGTCCCTTCAGCGGTGCCAAGTTGACTGTCGGTATATCGAAGTGCTGAAGTGTTTGTACAGTAGAGCTACGATGGCTATCCGAGTACAGAACCAGAGTACAAAACCTATCCAATTGCAGAGAGGTGTAAGACAGGGTGATGTTATATCCCCGAAACTCTTCACCGCTGCATTGGAAGACGTTTTCAAGCTTCTGGACTGGAAAGGATACGGTATTAACATCAATGACGAGTACATCACTCACCTTCGATTTGCCGACGATATAGTCCTTATGGCAGAATCGCTGGAGGACCGAAGCACCATGCTCAATGACCTCAATAGTGTTTCCCAACGGATAGGTCTTAAGATGAACATGGACAAAACAAAGATCATGTTTTATGTCCATGTCACACCTATGCCGGTAGTTGTTGAGAACACTAAGCTCGAAGTTGTTGACGAGTATGTTTACCTGGGGCAAATAGTCCGACTAGGTAAGTCTAACTTCGACCGAGAGGTCAATCGACCGATTCAACTCAGCTGGGCAGCGTTCGGGAAACTACGACACATCTTCTCGTCAGGTATACCTTAAAACGAAATTCTACAACCAGTGCGTGTTGCCAGTGATGATTTACGGATCTGAGACGTGGTCCTTCACTGCTGGCCGTATGAGGAAGCTCAAGGTCGCTCAGCGAGCTATGAAGAGGGCTATGCTCGGGTTTTCTTTGCGTGATAAACTTAGAAATGAGTATATCCGCAGTAGAACCAGAGTAACCGACAACCGATAGGGAAGAAAGGTTCTTGAGTTGCAGCCTCGTACCGGTAGACGAAGTGTAGGGCGACCCCCCACGAGATGGAGTGACGACCTGGTAAGACATGCAGGAAGTCAATGGATGCAGGTAGCTCAGGACCGTGCTTTGTGGCATTCCTTGGGGTAGGCCTATTTTTAGCAGTGGACTTATGAAAGGCTGTAATGATGATGATGATGAAGACTACATACGAGTTGACACGTCTGAGGCTCACAGTCTGTAAATATACTGGCTATCTATCCCTTCAGGCGGGAACACAGCAGTACACGCACTGTTGCTACTTGGTAACGGAAATACTAGCCAGAAAATGAGAACTACCACCATAGTATCTGATCTTACTTCCGATTTTTTCGTGTTACACTAGTTGAGGGTAGTTTTGGATCACTGACACGATTTTTTGTCTTTTTTTACTTATTATAAGCCAATGCTTGACCACAATCCCACCTGGTAGTAAGTGGTGATGCAGCCCTAGATGGTAAATCGCACTGTCTTAGCGTAACAAAAGCCTATTCAATTTTTTTGACACCCAGATTGTATTCGGACGGAAAGATAGACGCCGGCAAATTATTCTATCCTTTGCCGTACGCATTACAAAAGTATATTATTGTCAAATTCAAAGTCAAAATATTGTTATTCAAAAACGTCCTTTATAATATAATAAGCCGCACATTGATATTGCGATGAAACCTTGTCACAATAAACAGCTGCGTGACGTCATCCACCGCAAAACGTACAGACAACAAATAAGTTAATCTACTTTTCGTGTGAGGTGTTGCCACCTCTGGTGAAAAAAGTAAATAACCTAGGGTTATAGGTATATATATTTGTACACGCCCCTAACTGCCCCTACAAAGGTCAAATATCCCGGGGCCCATCAGCGGTAGATTTTTTTTTATAGGATCGGGTGACAAACGAGCACACAGTCCACCTGATGGTAAGTGGTTGCTGTGGCCCATAGACATCTACATCTATCCTCAATAAAGACTCAAGATGCAGATGCGTTGTCACCCGTGAGGACTAAGATGGAATGCCTCTTTGCCAGTAAAAAGGGTCTCCGGTTCTCTATACTCACCATACGAAACACAGCAGCGTTAAGCTGCTATTTTACGCTGGTTTTCTGTGAGAGCGTGGTCCTTCCCCGGTCGAGCCGACCCATTCGTGCTACAACCATAATATAGCCGCAGCATAGCTCTACCACGTAGAAAAAGATTCGACGGACAACTAAGCGTGGGGCCCAACAGCCTATGGACAGTTGACCTATCATACTACACAATAGAGATAAGGCTAGGTAAATCAATTGTACGTACCTGGATCCTAAGCTAAGACCGTCCCAAGGCTCGGTCAGGCCGTAGGTAAGTGTATAGGTGCATGTTAAGTGGTGTGTAGTAGTGTTTATTTATGTGACCTGACCCAGCTGAGGTGACCGGGCGGCGGCCTGGTCCAATGCTGCCCCACAATGCTGCATCACTCCAGCAGGCGTCATCAAGTGACAACTTCTTTCTTCATGTCACTATTTCAGTCTATCAACTTTATTGTACATTTAACTAACTTCAACTCAACTAATTCAACGTTCATCGTAAAATCAAACACGTGATACCCGACACAAGTAACGAACAGTAGTTCAAAGTTCAATATTCAATGTTTCGGATTCATTTATCACCAAATTACAAATAGGGAACTAACGCGTTACAAACAACAACTAAATTCATTCGTACGATATTGAATACTACGCCGCAATAAGAATTCAAAATCAAACTAGCGGACACGCAAACTAACTACAGAGTCAACACACAAAAGGCTCTTAACGTGACGGTACAATTAAACAATGACTTCCAAAAACAATTAACCGGGCCACGCCCTCGAAATGGAATGCGAGCTTCAAATTCCAGACCGTATCTCTACTCGGCGCGCGCGCTAGATTCCACGTCACACAAGCAAGTCAAATATTGCCCACGAGCGTCGAACGCCGGGGAGCTGAATACCGCAGCCCCCCCTCCCCCCCGGCGACCGCACGTCACCTCACACCATCGGGCGATGCACTAAGTCGAACGCGATTGGATGGCGTTTCAAATGCCTATAATTGGCCAAAACAATATTATATTATATACATATATTTATAGGTATTTAATTAAAATAATATATATAATATACTTTTGTAATATGTACTTTGCCGTGCGCATTACAAAAGTATATTATTGTCTTGAGCAGGGTATATGTCTTACCAATTTTTTTTTGTGGTAATTAAACTGATACCGTGGCACAGAGTAGATAATAGTACAAGTAACCGTGATCGAAATTAGTCAGTTGGTAATGGTTATCATCAGTAAATGAATCAATTTCATACGGGTCAGAGCCATGCTGTACTTATAATATGGTTGTAGCATGAATGGGTCAACTCTCACAAAATACCAACGTAAAATAGCAGCTTAATGCTGTTGTGTTTCGTATGATGTGTTTAGAGATCATTTTCACTGGATACGAGGCATTCCATCTTAGTCCTTAAGAGTGACAACGCATCTACATTTTGATTCTTAATCGATGATTGATGTAGATGTTTGTGGGCTACAGCATCCACACACCATCAGGGGAACTGTGTCCTCGTTTGCCAGGCTTATTCCTTAAAAAATTAAAAGTAAGTCATATTACAAATATCATATTAATACCGGGTTAGGTAAATAGCTCAATTTATGTGTGGTACAGTTCTCCATCTTGGCAGCGGGTCGCTCGTAGCATCGCTCCGGCGCAAAAGATTTCACCAACTCTATCTTTTCCGGCGGTAGGTATGACAGTTTGTTGATAGTTCGGTCTGTAATGTATATATAGGGATGATAATCATTTTAGAACTTTTTATAACTTAGCTCTGCCACTACAATTAATTCTACATCAGCTGTTATGTTTACTACTGGATATTGGCCTCTCCCTTACGTAGTGAGAGATTTTGCAACAGAGTAAATAGCTTGCTTATGTATATTCTAAGCTTTGCTTTAACCGAAACCCTACGCTTAGGCTTAGAAGGGCTAGAACCCAGAGCCGTAAAGCCAGTTAAAAAAAAGTAACCCTACGCAAGCGAATTCACGATCGCAGCACCAGACGTCTCGCATCTTGGACAATGCACGTCTCCAGTCTGGGTGATTTACATACAAACAGTGGTATGGTGGGTGATTTACATGCATTAGCCACGGCGCGGGTCCTGTGTTTGAATCCTAGTTGGACACAAATACAAATTATTATTTGTCTCAGGTCTGGTTGTGTTGTATTTGTTTTAGTGGATCTGCAATGCACACTAGCTTCCGAAATTACTATTCTTTTATAATATCAGCCCATAAAACTGCACCTAAACATGGGGGCTCTCAAGTTGTAGGAAGAATTCGCCTTAATCGTTACAAACAGACGTCTCGCCGAAGTAGCTCGACGCTGCTGCCCGTCGCCAGCGTGAGAACGTCTGGTACGTAAACAAGATAATACAATCTATGGGGGAGCTCTATGTACAGCTGTGGGCTTGAAGGGCTGTAATGACGATGAAGATTGATGGATTAATCTTAAAAAAAAGTATAAAGTGGCTTCAATAAACTAAAACGAATAAAACAATTTCCACATTTTACTATTTACTTAAATTTATTTTTCTATGTACTCTCAGATAAACAAACTATTATGTATACTTTATGCTTAGGGGTTTTTATTCTTTAATTCACATTGTCTTAGCAGACTTCAGAAGTTATTAAATTATATGGAAGTTAATTTATTATCTTAGTTTTCAGAAGTCGATTTTTTAAACTTTAATTATATTCGACCATTTTTTTATAGGAAACTAGCACACAGTCCACCTGATGCTAAGTGGTTGCTGTGACCCATAGACGTCTACTTTCAAACGTCGCTGAGTACCGGAACAAACTTGTGTCTGAAGTCGAGTCTTTGCTGAACAAAGTCTCGGATTGGGGGCGACTAAATCTAGTCCAATTTAATCCTCAGAAGACACAAGTTTGCGCGTTTACCGCTAAAAAGAACCCCTTTGTCGTATCTCCTCAGTTTCAAGGCACTCCCCTTCTTGCCTCAGCCAGTATCGGTATCCTCGGAGTCGACATATCGAGTGACGTGCAGTTTCGTGGTCACTTGGAAGGGAAGGCCAAATTGGCCTCTAAAAAGCTTGGCGTGCTCAGCAGAGCGGGACAGTATTTCATGCCGGCACACCGCCTGCTACTTTACAAGGCGCAAGTTCGGCCTCACATGGAATACTGTTCCCATCTCTGGGCAGGGGCTCCCCAGTGCCAGCTCCTTCCACTTGACCGCATCCAACGCAGAGCGGCTCGAATTGTCGACGACCGAGCCCTTTCCGATCGGCTCGATTCATTGGCACTGCGAAGAGATGTTGCATCCCTTTGCATTTTCTTTCGCATCTACCATGGGGAGTGCTCTGAGGAATTGTTCGGATTAATCCCAGCCGCCAAATTTCACGAACGCACATCGCGGCAGAACTCCCGATACCATCCACACCATCTGGATGATTGGCGGTCCACCACTGTGCGATTTAGAAGATGTTTTCTTCCTCGCACGACCTCCTTGTGGAATCGATTACCATCAGCGATTTTTCCGGACCGATACGACTTAGGGACCTTCAAGAAAAGAGCGTACTCCTTTTTAAAAGGCCGGCAACGCATCTGCGATTCCCCTGGTGTTGCAGTTGTTCATGGGCGGCGGTAGTCATTTACCATCAGGTGAGCCGCATGCTCGTTTGCCCCCTCTCCTATAAAAAAAAAATGTATCCTCAATAAAGAATCAAAATGCAGATGTGTCGACACCCGTGAAGACTAAGATGGAATGCCTCTTTTCCAGTAAAATAAAGTTCTAACAGTGGTAGAGCCACGCGGCAGCTTTTGCTGTCGCACGGATGGGCCGGCCCGAACTGGGGTGGTACCACGACCTCACAGAATACCAGCGTGAAGTAGAGGTTTACCTCTGCGTTTCGCTTGGTGAGTGCAGGTGGCCGGAGGCCCTTTTTACTGGAAATGAGGCATTTCATCTTAGTCCTCACGGGCGACAACGCATCTACATTTTGATTTGTAACAGAGGATAGATGTAGATGTCTATGGGCTGCAGCAACCACTTACCATCAGGTGGACTGTGTGCTCCTTTGTCACCCTTATCCTATAAAATAAAAAATAAAATAAAAATAAAATGGGTCTCCGGTTCTCTACACTCACCATACAAAACGCAGCAGTGTCAATCTGCCCTTTTACGTTGGTGTACCGTGAGAACGTGGTCCATCCCCGGTCGAGCCGACCCATTCGTGCTACAACTGTACTACTAATATAGCTGCAGCATGGCTCTACCACGTTTAAAACACACTTTGATTGGACTAACCAATATCACACAACCTTACAACTAGAAGGTCTTCTGAATAGTTACTTATAAAATTTCATTACCTATTTTTCCAAATAATAGAGAGTGGAACGTTTTTTTTAAAAATCTAAATAAAATCTGATGGTAACCTATATCGTATGACAAAAAAAAATCAGTCGAGTTGAGAATTTCTTTCTTTTTGAAGGCAGCTATAAATAAAGTAATTACTTTCAAAGGGTTGTTCTACACAGTGGAACTTTGCAGGTGGCTTGCAGCTCTCACGCATCACGCACGGTTTCGGCACGAAGTCATGGCGCTGCGTGGTAATGTTTTGCATTGGCCCCTGTCCCCACATATCGTGGTGGCATGGTCGGATCGGCTGCGTCACGCAAACTGGATTCGGGAGGAACGAAAGCTGCAACAACATCATTTTCATATTGATGTGATCACTGTAAAATTTACTATTATTATTATTAAAAAAAAACGTTACCTCCACACTAGGATTTTCTCCTGTATCGTGGGGACAGTTTACATACATACATTTCACAAGGACAAACAGCCAGACCCGGAACAATTATTTGTAGGCCATACAAATATTTGCGTGCGGGATTCGAACGCATGACCCTTAGCGTTGTGACTCATTGCTAAGCCACTGCGCCACGGAGCCGCCTATTAATATTTTTGTAAAAAAACTATCATTACCGAACTATCATTATTGTTCTGTGTCACCATAACGATAGTCACTCAAACTATCATTATCGGACAATCATTATGCTTTTGTGGGGTTCGGAACACTGTAACACTGGTATCCTGGTACAGGTTCCCATCTCACATTGGCCAATCAAACAAAAAAAGCAGTAAAATAAGTGTTGAATTTCATCAATGCGACATTGTGATTGAAAATATTATTTATTTATTTGCTGGCCCGGCAGACGTTATTCTGCCCTTTCTGGTTGGTGGCGCGCTGAGTTTATTGTCACACACATTTTTCTATATATTTATTATACGTATAGCTAAGTCCTCTTTAAGACTAATAGAACCATCAGCAGCAATAATGACAATCAACTTAAAAAAATTTAAAAACAATCCTTTTTTTTTACTCTTCCGTAAGCGGATATTAAGTTGCCTATATGTTATACACGGTCATTTACTGCCTACATATAAAATTTCATGGAAATCTGTCCAGTAGTTTTTGCGCGAATCGTGAACATACAATTTTTCTACAGGTTTATTATACGTAATATATAGACAGATTATAATTAGGTACTAGCTGGTTCCCAGCGCGTTGCTGCCGCAGAAAAAAATAATTGTGGAATAATCATTTTAAATTTAGAACAGTTCTATTGTTTAATTAGGAATGATAATACATTCATTGAAATTGAATGATAAACAACTTTCAAATTATTTTTCGGTTCGGTACGATACGCGCGCCACCTAGTGTAAGTTAACTGTACTATGCCTATAACATTGGCGCAAGTGCAAGCAATATTATGTTGACAAAGACAAAGTTTTACGGCAATCTGATGAACGGTATGGCAGCGCATAAAATACGAACAAATATTAATTTTTATAGGTATATTAGATATTTAAAAAGTAGATACGTTAGTCGGGTGATTAAATACATGCGAATTACCAAATGAGCAAATTTTACTATATAATTAGAAAGCTCGTAAATGTATCTGCAACCTAGAGGACCGCGGTTTCGAATCCCGCATACATATACCGATTTTTTTAAAATTATTTCTCAATACTTATTGAAAGTATTTTTTTTATTTACCGCTGGTTCGGAAAATACCTCTGTTCTGGGAAGAAACAGCAAGCAGCGGGATTATATTTTTAGACATTAAATTTTACAACAATTTTGTAGAACTATTTATAAGAATTACAGTAGAATCAGCATGGACTTCCTTGTGGAATCGATTACCATCAGCGATTTTTCCGGACAGATACGACTTAGGGACCTTCAAGAAAAGAGCGTACTCCTTTTAAAAGGCCGGCAACGCATCCGCAATTCCCTTCCTGGTGTTGCAGTTGTTCATGGGCGGCGGTAGTCACTTACCATCAGGTGAGCCGCACGCTCGTTTGCCCCCTCTCCTATATAAAAAAAATGGTAGCCTCACCTCAATCCCAAGGGTTATTTTCATTGATGTACATGTATGCAGTTTTTAATAACATTTTTAATATTGAAGACTATTTGTATGACTGACATAAATGGTTTTGTGTCAGGAACTTTCACCTTATCCATTTTTGAGTGCCAAATCCACACGGGTCAACTTTAAAAAAAATATTGTATATTGTGTCATATTTATTCCCATCTTCATATGAAAGACTTACCTTCTGTACAGTACAAGATTCCATAGGCTCACAGCTTGGCACAAGGTTGGGAGGCGGTTTCCTTGGAACGCCTCTAAGATTCTGGCAGCCATCGACCGGCAAGTACGATAGTTTGTAAGTAGTGCACGATTCTACTGGCGCAGTAGGTTTCATGTAGCAGCGTCGTGGCGCGTAGGACTCTGGGATCTTAGGCTGCTTATAGCACTGAAGAAAAGCAAGAACAAGTTACACAAAATGTTTTTTTAGAAACACGTTACCACCACACTAGGATTTAGAGGCAGTTTACAAACATAAATTGCACGAGGACAAACATCCAGACCCTGAACAATTATTTGTAGTAATTACTGCTCCACGGAGCCGTCAAGCCGTGGAGCCGTCGTTTCCTAGCTGCATCTTGAAGTAATTGGGTGTCAACTGCATCTGATGGCAACTGTATAGTCAGTTCCCTAAGATAGTGTCGGTACACCCGGAGGCGCACATAATTTTTTATTATTTTATTTATTATTCAGGTAAATACACCCATTTTCTTAGTACATTTAAAACTAGGGGTTTAGTAAATTTACAGAATACAAAAATTATTATACAGTACCGAAATTATCATTTATTATTAAACATACTGGGCCTGGAACCCATATGCAATGTGTTCCAGTGCCTCATCACAGGGCATTCTTGCCTTCCATATAATATGGTAGCCAGGAGGCTGTTGGTGCTTTCTCGCAGTTCGCTTTGCAGTAATATTATTGTAAAGCTGTCAAACCCTGGCTCGGCAAACATACGTGATTCGTTGCAGAAGCGTGGCAACCTCAACAACATCCTCATTGTTATTATTATTATTTTGTTTTTATTTTATTGTTTTATAATTTGTTTGTTAAATAAATGTTTTTCTATTCTAAGAATAAAATAGAATACTATTTAATCTTATGGTTATTGTAATAAAATACGAATATAAATAATAAACACAAGTCAGGTAGCAAAGAACTTTTCACTACGGCGCCTCGTTTTAAAGTGACAAATTTTCCTGCGGGTGTAAACAGCTTTTAATGTCGCAGCGGCGCCTCTGACAAGATGCGGCACGTGCCAAGGCGGCGCGACATAAAGGCGACCGTATCTTAGGGAACAGACTATTCATAGCGTAGCATGGAACCAAAAATAGAACAATTTCGCATAGACAGCATGTGAGGCTAATTATCGGTGTCTATGACGCTGACCTATACCCGACAATTTTATATAAAGATGTCAACGGAATGTAAAGTTCTACATATGCTCAGATCATTTTTAATTCTACCCATATCTTTACCACCTAATAATTTAAAGAATGACTAAAATCACATTATAAATTATTTCTTTAAATTAGTGAATTTACAAATAAAGAAAATATAATGCTGCCACAGCCACCACGAGCTAAAGCTCAAAAAGTTATAGGATTCTATTCACCGGATTAAGAACAGGAGCTTTTCCACAGCAGCACGATCGGCAAGGGCATGGATGTTCTTGCTTGCCGTCAATAAGCTTTCCATCTCGTAGACCGGACTTGATACCAGCGGATGGCGCGCACGGCGCAGCCGCTGGGCAAGGCACACACCTGCAAATCATAGAATGTTAATATTTTCATAGAATAAGTGTGACAAACGAGCACACGATCTAGCTGATGGTGAGTGGTTGTTGTGACCTATAGACATCTACATCTAATCTCGATTAAGAGTTAAAATGTAGATACGTTATCAGACCTGAGGACTAAAATGTTCCCGTTTCCAGTAAAAACCGATTCTTTACACTCACGATATTATTTAATGATTTAGCTATTTCACGCTGGTATTCTGTGAGAGCGTGGTCCTTCCCCATTCGCTGACCAATTCGTGTTACAATCATAATATAACTGCAGCATTGCCCTACCACGTACAATGTACGTACAAGGATTATCATCATATCGTATAGTAAAACAAAATAAGCTTTTACACCTTATTTACATAATAGAAATACCTGTTTTAAGAAACCGCTGAAACAAATCACGTCAACGTTCTGAGCAATGGCAGTTAGGTCTACTAAAGCGCCAGCCAACTAACCGATTTTTTTTTAAATAAATTAGTTTTATTATCCCTACTTTTTAACCGTTTTAACTGTAGATAATAAAGAGTAATAACATCTTTTTTTAATATAATATGTATATAACATGGTGCGGCCTTCTTTGTTTATAAGAGAATACTATTAAGTTGCTTGTGTTCATGGTTTAAGTAGCCATTTATATTGTGAGGTAGACTGAGGTTTCATTTGTTAACGCGACTCTAATATTTTAAACAGAAATCACTGCTCTGTTTTGTATTTTTTAAACCGTTTTGTCTGTAATGACTAAAGAATATGCAGTTCGCCTCAAAGCCGCTGCAGCCCATAAACATCTGTCATTGCGACAACAAAGACTAAGGAGTGTTTTTGTTTATGTGCTCAATTTGAGTTTTTTAACCAGAACACGACAGAGGGTAAAATGTTACATAGCGGAAATAATATAACCCCCGCGCAGGTTTGCAGATGGTGTCATGACGTCACGCGTCATGAAAGCAATCATTTTTCGCGGAACAAAGGAGAAAAGCGCATGCCCTTATCTGCTCTGTTTTGAGAATGAAGAAAATGCGTTATAATACAATAAGCAATGTTTAATATCTCAATCATATTACGTTAATCCTATAGTGAGAGTTGTAAGTAAATGAATAACTTCTCTAATTTATTGGGTCCCATTTTCCAAAATTAAATTTTGACATGTCTCCACGTTTCAAGGTCGCTAGTGTAGGATAATAAATATATTTTTTAGGAGGGTATCTGGTGTGTATGTACGTATATTATACATTGGATCACACACATCCGATACTAGAGGCACCGATGGCCGACGTCGGGCTGGTGATGACTTCAATCGTTGCAAAATGATCTAATTAGTACTACAGAATAAATAATAGTTAGAACCTTAGTTTTTACCAAAATCGTCCGAGCAGTTTTTGGTTACAAATTAAATAAAGAAATGGTAAAATAACCGCACTTTTCAGTGTGCTTAAAAGTTGAAGTTAGTAGTGTGTTTACCACTAATAAAAAATTACCATTTCGTTTTACTCTTTTAAATGTTACGTGGTATAGCCACGCTGCCTCCGTTTTATTACAGGACAAATAGGCAGCTTTATCGCGGAAAGACGATGCTCTAACACTACGTGATATAATGATTTAATACTTGGTAGAGCCATGCTGCAGCTATATTAATTGTATAGTTGGAGCACGAATGAGTTTGCTCGACCGGGAAGGACCACGCTCTCACAGAATACCAGCGTAAAACAGCAGCTTAACACTGCTGTGTTTTGTATGGTGAGTGTAGAGAACCGGAGACCCTTTGTACTGGAAACGAGGCATTCCATCTTAGTCCTTACGGCTGACAACGCATCTGCATTTTGATTCTTTATTGAAGATAGATGTGGACGTCTATGGGTCACAGCAACCACTTACCATCATGTGGACTGGGTGCTCGTTTGTCACCTTATCCTATAAAAAAGACAGAAATAAAGAGAAGGGATGTATGTAAGGAATGAGATGAGCAGCAAAATATTCCAGTAAACTGAAAATAATAAAGACCGCGGTTTGTAACCGCAAACATGCCCCTATCTGGCAATATATTGAGGAGCCCTATGTAAAGCAGTGAACTTTTGATAGGCCTTAGAGTGATTACACATTCTATGTGATAGACTATAATGATGATGAAATGTACATGACATATGCTATACGAATTTTGAAATAAAAAAAATATTTCTCGTCTATTAATAGACGGACGATTTGTTACTAGATTTTAGTTTTATTCGTCCGATTTTCGGACTGATAGATCGTATATATTTTTTATATATTTGTTGTCTATAAACTATAAATGTAATGTTTATAGACTGCAAGTAATATATGATAATGTACAAGACAACATACAAGATAATTAACATACTAGATAACTTCCTACATGATTGAAAATTACTACCGATAACACAATATTATCACAACACAATGTGCTAACATAATAAAATATAACTCACTCAGGCATAATTTCCTCGTTTGTGCTTATCTAAAACACTATATAAAAAATAAAATAAATCTAAAACCTAAAAGGGCTATCAAACTGAAAATAATTTTAAAAAAGCATATCTATCTAAAAATGACTATAAAATAAAATGACATTGATAACTTGCTCTTTTGTTAATTATAATATTATTTTTATAATTCCAGTCGGTTCGGAGTTTTTAAAAAAAGCAAAAAGTTGGAATTCGGATTAAAAATGTAATTCCCCCGATAGAAACAAACATTTTTTTAATGGAAATTATATTAAAAAACTACATATTATTTCATTATAATCCGCGTGCAAATTACATCGGTGTGTATATATTACCTATTTTTAAGGGCGTCTCCCTCCCTCCCTCAACTGCATGCATGTAGATTCCTCAACATAGAAGCAGCGTTAGAACTTAGAACTATCTAAACCTTTATTTTAGAAAATAAATTGTTACATTCATATGTGATTGGCTAGGTAGGTAATATATTTTTTTAAGTGTGCAATAAATTTACTTCGTTTACTTGAACTAAATGCCTAGTATAATAATATTTTACATAATATTAAAGTAACAAACAAGCTAACATTACTCCAGTCCTTGGTCACGCGATAGAGCCACGTTGCTGTTATATTATGGTTCTAGCACGTGTAGGTCGGCTCGACCGGGGAAGGATCACGTTCTCACAGTATACCAGCGTAAAATAATAGCTTAATGCTGCTGTGTTTCGTATGGTGAGTGTAGAGAACCGGAGACCCTTTTTTACTGGAAACGACGCATTCCATCTTAGTCCTCAGGGGTGACAACGCTAATCTAATCAAAAGCTAAATTTTATTTTTATTCGAGGATAAATGTAGATGTCTGTAGGCATCCACTTACCATCAGGTGGATTGTGTGCTCGTTTGTCACCCTCATTGCATACAAAAAAACACCCTAAATAACTTAGAACAAATATAATGTCCGCCAGACCGAATATCTGTCACGGCGGTCAGTCCCAATTGAGACTAGCCCTGTACAGGACAGGATTTATAGCAAGATAGTGTGTGTAAAAGCACAGGTGCACTCTTAGTTCCCTCACTAACATAGTCGATGGGATAACAATCTGCCACAACAGGCGAGAGATAAGGCGCAAGACCAACGGCTTTACTTGCTTTCCAAATCACGGGGGTGAAACAACGCCAAATTCCTGACACAGCTATTAAAAATTTCTTGATGGAAAAAATCCAATAACCGATTTTTGGTCCGATCCAGGGTTCGCACACAGACCACCTAGGCGGTCATAGATATCATATTGATAATGCTGTCACCTCTGTGGACTGAGATGAAATAAATACATAATGTTATTTGTTAATGAAATAAAAGATTATCGCTCTTAACAATACGTCATTAACAAAACGAGAAACTTATCAGTTTTGTTTATTGTAATGTTAATCTTAGTGTGCATATTCCTGAATGTTATTATTCTAAGATGAAGTCAAAGATCATAGATAAAGATCAAAGATTAAAAACGTTTTAGAGATAACCAATGTATAAATGGTATATCGATATTATTTACGTTTATGCTTATCAAGTGCAGTAACTTTATTTATGCCTTATATTTATACGTGGTAGAGCCATGCTGCAGCTATATTAATAATATAGTTGTAGCAGGAATGGGTCGGCTCGACCAGGGAAGGACCACGCTCTCTCAGAATACCAGCATAAAATAGCAGCTTAATACTGCTGTGTTTCGTATGGTGAGTGTAGAGAACCGGAGACCCTTTTTACTGGAAAAGAAGCATTCTATCTTAGTCCTCACGGCTGACAACGCATCTGCATTTTAATTCGCAAACGAAGATAGATGTAGATATCTATGGGCCACAGTAACCACTTACCATCAGGTGGACTAAGTGCTCGTTTGTAACACTTATTCTATAAAAAAAACATTCGAAATAATAAAGTCTAATAATTTACCGTTATGGTTAAAGCCTACCACCACCAAACTTAGGCCTCCCCATAGATTGCCTCATATTTGTTAAGCCGGCAATACTTGTTGGCCAAGCCTCAGCCAACGCGAGCGTAGGCAAAATTATATAAGGCCAGTGCTACAGTCTACATGTTGGCCAAGTTTGAATGAGTGAAGCTTCTTCGATTTGTGCAGAAAAACCAACACTGTTCCGAAGTGAGACGAGTTGTAGCGAGCGATCCCGAGTATTGGCAAAGCGCGCCAAACGTACCGTATACACGTTGGCTCTCGCCTGCACTTTGGTACTCGCATTCGCTCGGCTAACATATATAGCCGGCTTTACATTAAAATTACAATTCCGTAGCTAACCGCAGACAGCAGCAGCATGCGACGTGTCGTCGCGAAATGTCGCTGCGACATGTCGTCGCGTCATGTCGCTGCAGTCATGATTCCGAACCCGACTGCAGGCGGCAGCAGCTCGTGTTCCAATCTGTTCCGAATGTTCGGTGGGTACTCTATTTATGTAAACAAAATAGGTACTATATATATATACCTATTTACCGCTTTTATTTAACTCCTTTCCTATATTTTTTCACCTATTATCTTTTGTCACACTGTTTAAATAATTATTGTGGGATGCATCATACAAGGCGGGATATTGGGCCACCTGGCTTATCAGTTTCTCTTCCACGGAATCGGTGAAACTCATTTTTTTTTAGATAAATTCAAAGTGCCGCTCGGGCGTTGACGGCACTACTGATCTGCGGTCGGGCGACAGTGTCCGGGGTGCGGTCGGCTACGGAATGATACCTTTAAGCTCGCTTTTCACTATGGGATATAATATACATATATTATTTATCTATTTATTTATTTATTTACTTACTAACTCATAATTGTTATTACAGGAGTAGAGCCTAATGCAACAATGTGGCCACTAATGTAAAAAAGACAAATA